GTTCAGCAATGTAAATTTGGTGCGAAATTTAGTCTAATAGCCCCAATAGCCGACTCAGTGGGTCGATTAAACTGACCATAATATGGTCACCCCATAGTTTTACATGTATATTAGATGCGGTCGTACTCAGGTCGGTAATAGCCCAAGAGTGAGAGGGACAAAGATTTAATCGTAAAACAATTCATTGTTGCCTCGGGTTGGAATACTTCGTTAGGGTAATTTATTTTGAATTTTATTCTGCAGAAAAGGCACGCATAACGACTTTCTGTCTGAGGGTTTAAAGCACTTTTTGACCTTTTATACTTCTGTTCTTCGAGAAGAATACGACGTCAAACTAAATAAAGAATTTAATCTTTTTAAGTGCGTCATTTCCTCACATTTTAAAGCTCTCCTCATTTTCTTTTCCCGGAAACATTCAGTTTTATTTTAGAAAACGTGTGTCGATTATTCTACCATTCCCCGTGCTGTATACGATTTTCGTTGAGATTCGGAATTCGAGTCTAGTTATGAATTATTTTTCTGTCTTTACGAACTAGTGTTGAACTACTCATATAATTTGAGGACAAGATTTACCCACTTTTACTTTATTTTTTTATTTAACTTTGCAAATTTCCGCCCAGCTCACCCTCTAATTTTTGGCTTTGCGTCTTGATGTTTCTCCAACAAATGGAGGGACCTACAGTTTGTCCTTAGTCACCTCCGAAGAGCTGACGGTTTTTTATGAGGAACTTTATTTTACGTCAGAAATACACTGGGAGGGGTTGACATTCCCTGCCGAGGGGTGACCGCAATTAGAAAATTTAACTTAAATTTTTATAAAAATTCATTTTCTACAACTTTTTGGATGTTAGTCGCATAGGGAATTGAACCCGAGCCTTCCGAATGGCAGTGCGCAATGCTAACCACTCGGCTACCGCGAGTAAAATGCTTTTTTAATAAACGAGGATTAAGAGTAATGGCGGTTCGATTTCTCGAAACTGTTGCTGAAGGAAGTTAAACGAACTAATAGCATGACCATGCAATCAATTCGTTTGGAATTTGTACGATTATACGGTTTGTAAATGCTGGGGAAACTCTGGCAGCTGATATTGAGTGAGCTGAGACTTTAACTTGAATTAAATGAATACCGCGTAGAGATTGGATAAATTATTGTATTTTGCATAAAAAAAGAACTGTCGAGTGTTACAAAATTCAACAAATAGTGATATATATGCGCACTTCGATATTTAATATATGTATGTATAAACTTTTTATGCTTTCTTCACCTTCGCAAACCCTTCAGGCATGACGGTAATGACTACAAAAAATTTCCTTTTGCTGTAAACACATTTCTAACGGCACATACACATATATGTACACATAAAATTGTAAACATACACAAATGAGCATACATACATACATATGTAGAACGAAGTGTGCAATAAAGGGAATTTCTATTTCATTTTTGTAAGTGCTTTGACCAATTTGTGTGCGCTTCATTACAAAATTGGTAACCTAATTTTTTGCCAAGCATGCAAAAATGGCGGGAAGAAAACGTGGGTGTGCTTTAAAAAAATATATTTTCAAATAGAAGTTATCTCAAAAGCGGGTTTACCGATCCACAGTATAATCACACATTAATCTTCTCCACCAAAATAGATGCTTAAATGATGATGTAACCTCTAATGGAAATTTGCTTTTTTAATATTAAAAAAAAAAATTTTTTTTTGTTTACCACAAAATAATAATTTATCAATTAAATTGCAATCATTCTGATACACTTGCGACATTTCTATATTCATTTTGTCTCTTTTGTTTGCACTCTTTTTACAGCGCAGTACAGTAATCGGGAAATTGCTACATTTGTTCTGCTCCTCTTTTCATACAGTTTCGTTATTCCTAAAAGCTTTCACCGTTATTACGCCTAATAGCGTGTGTACTTGTGTGTCTACGCGCGAAATTACTTGTAATTGCTTGATTGTGTGTGGTTGCCTATTTTGTCGTTGATCAATTTAATTGTCTCATCCGATTCTCCAACCATTGACTCAGTCAACAGGACAAACATACACTTGTATGTATATGTGTTTTGACAATGTTCTCAAATGTCAATCATTAGGTCAACCGAAAAGGCCATCAAATGTACATAATAAGTACGTATCCATACATACGTACATATATACATATGTATATATGTAGATTAAGAGGCATCATTTGCCGTTACAGAGAGAGACTTTTCCTGCTGCGAATGATTGTGAGTGTTCATGAGAAAAAAAAAAATCTGTGAGATATTTCGTTTTTCCTTTTTTTTTGGATAACTGTTGTTGGAAGAAGTGTAGTTGCCATCCATTGTTTGCAAAAAATTCGGATCCATGAGCTTTAATCTTAATATCTAAAAGCGTCAATTGCCAAATGAGAGGTTATTCTAAGTCCTCCAAAGTTTAAAACTATTTGGGTAACTTTAATTGAAATGATTTCATAATCGAAAAATCCTTGAAATTCTAACGGCATAATGCTCTTTGCGAGGAGTCCGAGACATTTACGATGACTTTGTAAAACAATGCCATACGTGAGTTTCTTGCTCCTTTTGGGTTTTTTAGAATCTGCTTTCTTTTTTTAAATTAAAATAAAAAAAAATTATTATACATATTTATACTCCATTTGTAACCTCCAATTTGTGGCATGTGCTTTGACGGTTTTCAAAAAAATGGAGGGACCTACAGTTTATACTAAGTCGCCTCTGAACGGCTGATTAATTTTTAGAAATGCACTCGGAGGGCTTGGCATTCCCTGCCGAGGGACAAACGCAATTAGATTTTTTTTTTTTTGATTTATTCCATTTAAAATGTGAATTTTTTTTAACAATAGGATTTTTGGCTTTTATTAATAATTTTAAATTTTCTTGGATTCTTTACTTTTTATTTTTGGAAATATTTCCCTTCCTTCTCTGGTTTTCCATAAAGAAAATATTCGGAAACTATTCAGTGGATCAGTTGATTATATTATTCAGATTTTTTAATTTTTTTTTGTAAAAATTTGTGTGTTTTCGATGCAATTAAATTAAATTATTTGCAAACTGAGTATAAAATCCAACAAAAATGATTTATTTCTTGATTTCTTACTTCAGGGGGTTCTGACCATCACGCAACACTTGGGTAAGTCATAAAAAAAAAGTTTAAGTTAAAAATAAATAACTCAATATCTATTTAAATATTCTTAAATATAATAGCAACTACAGTGCTCTATTCAAAAAAAAAAAAAAAAAAAACTATTAAAAAAAAAAAAAAAAAAAAATAAATAAAAAATGGGGTTCCCCCTAAAAAATGGAAAAAATTTCTTTACATAATTTATTTTTTTATAATTTATTTTTGGCTGACTCAGGACTTGGGGCATAGTCTTTGGGTCGCCACATCGCCACACATTCACTATATATTTGTTTTCCTTCAAACCTAGCAAATTGAAGACATGCGACGCCATAAGGCAATGGTTCGTTAACAATACTACCAGCAGCCTGGAGTCTGTCCCTTTACCACTAGTAAAAACTTTGTAAAGCTAGGATCATGGATTTTGCGCAAAGTTCATCCGCTTCTGCAGCTCTTAGTTCGTACCCAAAGTCAGTTCGCCTAACGAAGCAGGATTACGTCTTTCGCTTGCTTCACTTTCCTGAATGGAAAAGATAGATCCATTATTACGTCTCATTCTAAATGTACACCTTCCTTCAATGCCCACAATAAATGTGACCTTTTCTCTTTTCAGACATGATTTTATCGCCTCTTGACATGATGCGACTACAGTCGATTTCCTGCTTTGTGAAATTAAGGCCTTGTTGGCCGACATCCATATAAATTTGCATTTTCTTGCTTTCTCAGCTTACAATCAGCTTTAGCTCTGCCATCATTTTTCTAGCAAATATTTCACCTTGGAAGTTACTGCAAAAGTTTGTCAGCTTAAACGGCCTTCTTATCTCTAGTTTGGTGCAGTAAATTGAATGGGTGGTCTTTAGTTCCTTTTAGAAGAATTAGCAAAAATATGAATAGCTTTCTCTGCAGATTTCAATCCCTTGCTTTAGCCATTTGAATGCTTTTGTAATTAACAAGAGGTTCCTTAAAGTCTAGTCTTATAATCATAACGCTATGTACCCATAAGACCAGATTTTCAGCTGCCTGAAAGTTTATAGACTCCCAGCAGCGCTTTCAATAACTTCAAAAATATTTGAGGACTAAAAGTGTAGTTTTAATTTTTGTATTCGACGTTTTTCTACAATTATATACGCTTTTTTCAGTATCAAACGACTGGAATTGAAAATATAAATAATCACCATCGCCTAAATGTAGGCCAAAATTATACAAAAGTTGTACGAGAATGACGGAAGTCAGTATTTGAAATGAATTCTTGAAAATGAAAATTTTATAAATAGTACAACAACTTATCGATGTGCTCAGTCTAGTTTTTAATATATTGCATTATTGTATTCATATATCAATTTTAGGTGTGAGAAACAGTCAAAGAATTATAATATACGTCATAAATCGACGCCTAAATGTAGGCAATAAAATTTTAAAAGATATTTTGACCTGACTTGAAGTGGTATTTAATGTTTTATTAAAAAGATGCATATATTATAAAGGAAAACAAATTGTTTGTATAAAATATATTTTAAAAATCAAAAAGAAGATTTTACAGATTTTTAAAAAATGGTAAAGTTTATGATATTCTGAGACTATCTTTCCGCAATATTACCAATTTTTTATAAAAAGTTTCATAACGTATTTTTTTTTAAATAAATTTATAATTAGTACTAAATATTTCTCTTCATTCAAAAATGCTTCACTCTATATGAAATATTCTACTTTCGCAGCGTTCATTTCAATATTTTCATAAAATATTTTCACAGTCATTGAACTTGCAATTCTACTCAGCTCCAGTATTTATTGCTAATCCTTAGCAATTATTTTATTTTTTTACTATGAGTGAGTGTACACCAAATCTTAAACTACAACATGAATAAACAATCAAATACACACCAACAAAAACCGACTTCAGCAAACTGTTGCACTTTATGCCAAATATTTATTAATCCGCTCAATTCTTGCACAGCCCAGGCTCAGGATATACAGCACTATCCTTCTATTTGCAGTTCACTTTTCACTTTATCAGAAAACTTATCGAAGTTTTCTAGTTACTTAGCGTTGTTCACAGGTCAAGAGTCGTATAACTTTTGAAGTTTCACGATTGCAGCAGGTCCACTTATATTCAAAAGTCAACGCGGCGACAATTGCGTTGATAACGTTGCCAACGACAATGATGACAGCAACAGCAAAAAGCCTGTGGCGCTCGGTGGACGCACACACCCATACACGGTTACTGCACAGGCAAATGCTTATATGCATGGATATGTCTTGTATATACCACAAAGATGTTTGGCAAGAAACTCACCATACTCAACACCAATACAAGCAAAGAAAAACTCATATGGAAAGCATAAACGCAGGCGCCGCTCGAATTGCCTTGGACTGCTTTTCGCGTGTGTGTTTGCGGCAGTTGATGGAAATTGTGTTGGCTGTATTGGCGCGTAAATTTGTAACTGAGAAATAATATTATCACCATAGAGCAAAGGTGCATAAACTCTATTAAAATTCAGTTAACTGTTGTTTATTCGATGTTTTTTTTTAAATAAAATCTTCCAGTGTGGACTTTTAATAATTTTTGGTTATATTCGCTCTGCTGTGGGAATAAGAAGTTCTCAAACTGGACATTCGAACTCCAATTAATTTCACCACATTATTTCTTGACTTACACAATCATTTTGTACTACTACACTTGTACAGTGTTTGCGTAGTTGGCAACGCAAGTGTTTTGTTTGGAACTGTTAGGTATATTTAAATATTACTAACGGAGTTTTTACTGCTAATTTTATTAGAGTATACATATATGTATCTGGCGGCCGCGGTAGCCGAGTGGCTAGCATTACGTACTACCTTTCGGAAGGCTCGGGTTCAAATCCTGGTGTCGTCCCAGCATCCAAAAAAGTTATAGGAAATTTATTTAAAAATAACAAATAAATTTTAAATTTTCTAATTGCGTTTGCCCCTTGGCAGGGAATGTCAACCCCTCCGAATGTATTTCGGACATGAAGTAAAGCTTCTCATAAAAAACCGTCAGCCCTTCGGAGGCGGCTTAGTATAAAATGTAGGTCCCTCCATTTATTGGAAAAACAACAAGACGCAAAACCACAAAATAGAGGAGAAGCTCGGCCGAAAATCGCTTTAGCGGTTACATATTTATATATACATGTATTGTGTCAAGTAAAAAGTTCTTTCGGTTTTTTTATTATTGATTTTTCAAGATATGAAAACTTTGTGTGCATTTTTCCGATTTAAGTCCAATCAAAATGTGCGCCGTTTTGTTCGTAAGCTTCTTGCCAACGAGATGCTAACTTCATTATATCCCTCTCGTAGAAGGCTGTGTCCCTATTAGCAAAAAACTCGGAGAGCCAATTTTCACAGGTCTCTCTTGATGCCACTTATCACCATTAAGCGCGTTAGCCATGGACTGGAAAAGATGGTAATCACTTGGTTCCAGGTCCGGCGGTGGGTGCATTGGGACCTCCCATCCGAGTTCCTGGAGATTTTGGCGCATTACCAAAGACGTGTGTGGCCTGTTGTTGTCCTGAAGGAACACAATTCGGCCTCTGTTGGTGAAAGATGGCCTCTTCTGGATAAGTGCTGCCTTCAAGCGGTCAATTTGTTGGCAATAGATAGCCGAATTGAACGTTTGGCTATAGGGAACAGCCTGTAGTAGATGATTCCTTGCCAATCCCAACCAACACACAGCAAAACCTTCCTGGTCATCAACGGTCTGGGACACCGTCTGGGCCGCGGTGACCGGTGATGAAAAGTGAATCGGTAAGCAATCGCCGAGAAACACCCATCTTTGGTCTAAAAATGGTAATTGTGTTTTATCAGGACAACGCCAGTCCACACACATCGATAGTGACTCCCCAAAAGCTCCGAAAGTTCTGTTGTCCTCGCACCAAGTGATTACCATCTGTTCCTGTCTATAGCGAACGATTGGGCTGGTGAAGAATTGTCTTCAAGAGAAGCCTGTGAAAGTAGGTTGTGTCAATTTTTTGCCAAAGAACCGCTGAAGCGGTTTTCGGCGGAGCTTCTTCTTCAATTTGTGGTATGCATCTTAATGTTTTCCAACAAATGTATAGTTTATTATGAACCGCCTTTGAACAGACAATATGCTTTATGGCGAATGGTGACTTCAGTTCTATCCCTATCTGATAGGACGTCGAATAAATTCTGAAATTCAAATTTAAGTTCAATTTAAACTTTACGCCTTATCTTTTCTCCAACTCGTTTAAGAGAATTATGTTGAAGGATAGCAAAGTACTTAATTAACAAAGCTTTTGAAATTCCTCAGACGGTAATGCTTTTGGCCTTTATTTTTGCGGAGAAATTCTTTAACTTTACTTTTAAATCATAAACCTTCAGTAAGACAAAAACAATAGAATACTAATAGAAACCATGAGGAGTTTTCGTCTTCTTCGCCGGCGAAAAAGAGGTTTCCAACTCAGAGAAGTGATGATTCATAGATTCCAACGAAGATTTCCTCATACCCCATTACCAGGTAGTCCGAATTCGATCAGACTTTGTGTATATGTCAAATTGGGTGCTGGTCTTCAGAAAATGGAATACATTTTTCTAGGAGGGTAGGAAAGGTATAATGATTAATTGGTTTCAGCATACTTTTTTTTATTGAAGTATCATCTTTTAAACATAATAAAATGAGTCTTAAGTTAAAAAAACAAATTAGCAATAAATCGTAAAATCTTTGGCCCAATGCGAAACGGGTCTGCTGGCTTAAGAGACTTTCAAGTCCAAAGAAATATAGTTATCATGGTAGATACTGTTCTCAGCAGTTGATGCGTCAATAAGACATTTGCAGGGTATCGTAAAACTTATTGCGTTTCTCCAAAAATTTATTGAGCACAGCCTTCAGAATAGCGGAACCTTACTATAACTTATTTACTGCTTTAGCAGTATAGGAAATGAAGAATGGTTCGAGAGTTGCACACAACGCACGCCAATACTTCTATGGTAAGTAAAGGGTGATCTTTTAAGAGCTGTGGGAAAGTTTTTCAAATATACATAAAAATCAAAAAAATGCTTTAAATCTTTACGCCTAAAATGCTCCATACGCTTAGTCCAATTTCGGCATACTCTTTCCAATATTTCGGCCGGTATCTCACGAATAAATGCTTCAATGATGCCCTCCAATGCGTCAATTGAAGTGGGCTTGTTTGTAGAGACCTTAGATTTAACATAGCTCCACGAAAAATAGTCTAAAGGCGTTAAATCACACGATATAGGCGGCCAATTGACCGCTCCCGAACGTGAAATAAAATGTTCACCGAACTCGCCTCTCAATAAGTCCATTGTTACGCGTGCTGTGTGGCATGTTGCACCGTCTTGTTGAAGCCACATGCTATGCAAGTTAATCTCTTGCATTTTGGGCAAAACAAAAGTTTGAAAAAATCACCCATTACAAGAAAGAAGAACATCCTTATTAGATAGCAATTGAAACTGAGTTAATCTAAATATGAGCTGGCCCCATACCAGGAATTCAGAAAAATTCCTTGCAAAGGACATTGTGCCTAATAAACAAGATATCGCCAAAACAACGACAATCACACTATCGTTCCACTCTAGTATATATGCTGGCCCTCTTTCTTGGCTAAAAATATGAAATATCTCAGCCAGAACCAGTGAAAGCTTTTAAATATGTTCTAAAGTGGTGTTTAGGATGTTTGATGTTCCACAGGGCAGACACTCCCACCCCTTATTCATATATATAATTGACGCTTTGTAACCGCTGCAGCGATTTTTGCCCGAGCTCCTGGTCCAATTTTTGGTTTTCCGTCTTGATGTTTTTCCAACAAATAGAGGGATCTACAATTTATACTAAGACACTTCTGAATGGCTGATGAATTTTATGAGGAGCATTGGCAAAAATTCAATTAGAAAATGTAACTTTATTTTTTATATTAAATTAATTTTCCATAACTTTTGGATGCTGGTTGTACCAGGACAAGAGCCCGGGCCTTCCGAAAGGCAGTACGAAATACTAATCACTCGTCCACCGCGGCCGCTTTGGCCCCTTAGATTAGGTTAGGTTGCAGTGGCTACCGATTTATCAGACCGGATTTGCTTTGGCCTGACTTAAAAGCATTGTGATACCACGAGGCTTCATCCTCCATCCATTTTGATTCTCTAATTAACATTATTAGATGCATAACTTTGACGTCAGCTATCTTCGACAGTAGGGTCCCAAGATTACGACACCTCGCCCTGCTCAATGCAGGACAATCGCATAAGATATGTGTTATCGTCTCCTCCTCTTCATCCTCCTTGCAGCATTGGCCCTTACTCTTCTTTATATTCATCAATGACCTTCCAAATGTAGTTCAACCTTGTAAAACCCTCAAGTAGTTCCGTTCTTAATAATTTATCAGGGTAGTGTGATGCCAGCTGTATTTATTAACCAAAATTTAAATAATAACAAATACACGAGTATGTGTTTCTCTAGAAAATCGTTCCAGTCCTTCCACTTTTTCGATTTATGTAGGTTTCACTAGTTTTTTTTTTAGAAATCATATTAATTCTTGTGCTAATAAGGCAAAATGCGTCTGAGCTTTCATTAAACGTTGGGATAAGGAGATCAATGACCCATACAGTTCGAAATTACTCTTTACTCCATTTGTTAGGCTCAGTTTGGAATGTGTCTCTGTTGCACTATTAATTATATACCAATAAACTGGAATCTGTACAAAAACAATTCCTACTATCCCGTCATACGAAAGCCGTTTATGGCTCTTCAATCTGCTTGCACTCAATGCTCAAACATGCTTGGAGTTTTATTTTTAACTAAATTGATGAGGTGTTATCAATAACCCATTCCTACTTAGCGAGCTTAACTTTACCATAATTTTAAGATCATCTAGACACTTTAGGCCCCCTTTATTGGTTTCATGCAGAACAAACTTTGAAATTCACAACCCTTTTAGATGTTTGGGCAATGATTTCAATAGTCATGTCGCCAGCAATGATTCCTCTGTCTCGTTTTTCAGTATCAAAACCTACTTATTTAGAGCATCATATAATGAAGAAATTTATTTCTCCATCTTCCCATGTAACTT